TCAGGTTCTAAATGTAATTTAACATATAATAATGAACTAAATTGCCACAGGCTTTTGTGGGGTCAGGGGAGGGGGGTCAGGTAGGTGAAGGGGTTTTGTCTTCCAGCTAGTCTTGATTCCTAGTGACTACACGGGCAGTTCCATGCAGTTTTCTTGGCAACATTTTTTCAGATGTGATTTGCCATGGGCTTCTTCCTAAGGCTGAGAAAGAGCAACTGTCCCAGTCAGCCAGTTGGTTTTGTGTCTAAGGCACTAGAACTCCCGGTCTCCAAGTTTTTAGCCTGGTACTTTAAACCATTTGAACCACTACACCAAACTAGCTCTCAAAAGCCACAGATACTATGGTATTAATATATCTTAACATATGTGTATTAAATTATTCATTCAGGCCCACTAACTATATAACTATAAAATAGTTCTATGTGGACAATTATTCAGTTTAATGTTTCTAGGTCAATAAAGTAATATAGAAACCAGAACAAAGCTCAATTGTATTTCCTAGAAAAGCAATTATCTACACAATTCCAATTATGTTTTAGTATACGCTTTGGTACACATCAAAAGGAATTCATGCAAGTATGTAATCTGAATGTATTTTTTAAAAAATTACAAATACTTTAAAATAAAAGATTTTTCTCCAGGCAAGTAGCTATATGCTTAACAACTGAGAGATAAAATGCATCCAGGAGTCCTGGTAATAATAATAAATCTATAGAAAACACTTCTAACATGTGCTTTGTTTGGATGGGAATAATTGATTAATGAACATTATTTTATTCAGATATTAACTATTTAGCCATAATGGCTGCTTTACCCATATAGGCCACAAATACCTTTTCTTTTCTCATGCGCATTTATTTAGAAAATAGATATGAAGAGCCGCTCTAAACCTATTTTATTTCAAACTCTTCTCTATCACATTCACAGCCATAAAAAAGCGCATCTATCAGGGGTAGTTACAAATGGCTAATATAACAACATGGAAAATATCAAGTAGCACACTGTTAGAAAAGCTATACACAAGCATGAAGACAGAGGCAAGCCACACACGCAGGGAAGGCCGTCTCAGCCATTTATATGTATCTAAGGCTGGTCAATGACCGAAATAAAGTATTCTGAACTTTGAATAATCTGAAAATCTGTGTTTCATTTCCTAACCAGCCCAAGATGAACATTCTCGTGTGCTTAAAGCATGCATTAGAAGCATCCCTTACTTGGTATCTTCCAAATGCACTGGAACTAAGGTTGCCAAATTCTCAGCCTACATGGTCAACTAGATACCCCCAGGTTAAGAATGGCTACTTAAGCAGTTCATGCCACGTGCCATACAAGCTTATTCTTACCGTACTATACATTGAACGGCCATAAACCTTTACACACATATTGCTATGTCTATCTAAAGCTCCTTCAATCTGGTTCCCTATGCTTTGGGTTGAACTTTATCCTGGTGGGAGGAGTGCAACCACATCATCTTGAATGTGCCTTCCACATGTGAAAAGATTCAAATGAGTCCTGCAGTTCTCATATTGCCAGGTCAGAGTAATACTGCCTTGATATTGGAGGAAGTGTTGCTTGGAGCTTTTTACTCTTTTTTTTACTTTTAATAAATGAACAATGAATGGAGGTGGGGGCAGGGTAATTAGTTTGCAGATCAAATTAATTACCCCACCCCCCACCAATTTAATCTTGATTTCCGGATTAAATCAGAAGCTATTATTGCTAAACCGAGAGAAGGAAATGCTTGAAGACAAGCCTGCAATTTTCCATACTATAACTAGCTCCCAGAACACATTCTTCTGCATACTCCATTTTTCACCTGTATATATTCATATGAGAAGTCCAAAGAGAAATTCAGAACATATATAAAGGCCTCCCTGTAAAAAAATCTCATATTTGGATTTCAAATTTTTAAGCATGGGCAGATGAATGTGCTTTAAAATCTTTAGACTTCATACTAACTGAGGAAGGGCCAACCTGAAGGTCCTCATATTTGCTCTTTGGTACCTATTAAAGGACAGTCCTATATCTTTCTTCTCTGTTCCTACAGACCACTACACAAAATTTGGCTACTTTTCTTTATGTTCCTCTGGGTCTGAAGTGGCAAGCAAAAAAGTGGCTGGCAAAGTATTCAGGTGACACTGAAAGGATCTCAGAAGTGGGATGGTATGAATTGCTCTTCATACAGCATAAAACATTCTCCTTTAACTAAAAATTTTCATGGAGTCTGTTAACATTTCAAACCATTAATTATCCATCCACATCATAATTGCTCAAATCTCTCCTGATTCCTGTCATTGCAGTTCCCTTTTATTCATGCAACATGAAGCAGGAAAGCGAAGAGCTGCAAAACTAATTATCCTGGGATTTCTATTAATTAATTGCATTTATATACCTTTCCACGAGTGATTCAATGTGGCATTCAGGGTTCTTTCTTTTCCTACAGCTGTATTATCCCCTCAAGAACTATGCTGAGAGTTAAACCCATTCATGCATTATCAATCTAGAGCTCTTCTGGGAGGTAATCCCCATTCCCGCTGACATAATTTAACTGTCTCTACACATATTGGGTTCCACAAAAGCCAGGCCCTGCCTTGTGTGGAAGCCAAATTGCTTTCCAATAAATAACATATTCCTGCTGAATGTGTAAGTGCTGCAGGGAAGCAAACATCATGAGAATTATGGGGGTAGAGGAGAATCTGGATATGCAAATTCTGAGCATTCCAGCTTGACAGTGCTTGAACAGGGCACTGACCACTGTTCCGAAACTACCCAGAAAGATTCAAGGATGCGTAGATATTTGAACCTGGGTCTTCTAGTCCTAGTTAACCCTTTAACAATGACACTACTATTGATTATGGAAACCACACATGCAAAGTGCTGGTCCAGACTGAAAATTAAGCTTAAAAAGTAATGCCCTCCTTCAGAGGATAAGGATGGTTCCATAAGAAGATGCAACTTCACAATGATCTGGGATGAAATTTAATCAATTTATATAAACAAATTATGTGTATTTTATAATGGAAGAAAATATTGCATAAACAAAGTAAGATACATACATACATATACACACAAACATTTTAATAATTAAAGAATATAATTACAAAACCCCAATTGTAGTTCTACTGCATTCCAAGATTGCACTGCCAAGGTTAGGTGGCAAAATGGCCAAATTTGGCAATACAATTTCTAGCTGTAGAAGTAGAAAGCTCCTGGGAACCAGAGCACTTCTATTTTTACCTAATACCCCATCCCAAATTGTGCTGCTGAAGTTTGATTCTGACAGCATAATTTGGACCATTTTGGTGAGAGCATTAGAGTGCTTTCGAAAGAAGAGAAATGGGAACAGATTCCAACCCATAGGCTTCCTTTCTCATTCCTACACTTAACCTCCAAAGCACTAAAAAACAGGTCAAAATATTCATCTATGACTCTTTCTGTGACAACAACTGGCCCTCCAGCTGTGAGGGAAAAAAAGTCAAATCAAGAATAGATTACAATCATTCAATTATGTGCTTATGTAGACACCAGAAAATTAATTTTAAAAATAGTTGGTAAATATTACAATTGTGCTTTGTTGGTCACCAAATAGATAACTACCCTGCTTTCTCAATACAAATTTTTCCATGCTGTCTCTTACCAGTTTTGTGGAAGAAATCATACAGATAAAGAAGCATAAGACCAAAATATTTTTTAAATAAAACTACTGCAGATTCAAAATGTAATGATATGACATTGCTTAAGATGCAGGAAGAAATTAAAGTGAAGCTAACATTTTAGATCCAAACTTAGCTTCCACTGATGGGAGAATAGTCTATTTATTTTCCATCACAGAATGCTTCTACAGGTATAAGAGGTGAGCCTTCCTATTCCTGCAGCCACTGATATCTTCTGAAATTCTGTTCCTGATAGCTGATGAATCTCTAGCACAGACTTTTAGTGAGCTCAAGGTATAAGGGGAAAAGACCTCAAATTCATCAAATGTCAACCAATATGTTTTCACCTGTTCCTTATGTTGAAAGAGAATAAACATTTTTATACTGAATTAATTTCATTGCAAGAACTCTAATCACACGTTCAGCTTCCTTGTTGTTCTAACGTGCAAGAGGATCATTCTCCATAGTATTTTAGAAATGGGATACAGAACCATATTTCAACAAATACATGGTTTTTCTGGGTCAACACATTTTAGTAAGAACTCATAAATCTTTAATTAACACAAATAATGTAGACTCCCATCCTTTTCACTTTGCCCAATCAATTATACATTCTGTAATTTTTAAATATTTGCAAATACTGCAAAACACCAATTCAGCAATATTTATCCAAGAATACCAAGCTATTGTAGACTACAAGTCTCATCATTTCCAGTAATTTCTAGATACTGTCTAAGCTGACTGGGGCTGCTGTAATACAAAATATCTGAGGCAAAAAGGCAGGGAATGGAGTAAGGGTAAATACTGCATATTTCATACTTAAATAGGAAAATAACACTTCAAATCATTGCATCAGTGAAAAAAAATACATTTTAAAGCAATTTAAACTTGATAAATGATCCATGTTAATCAACAACATATAAAAAATCTAATTCCAGTAAATCAAACCCTTTAATTACTTAGTACAAGGAACAAATCCAATAGGTTGGTGTTGTATATGAGGCAAGTCAACATAAGAACTCATTTCAAGTTCATTTAATGGTATGACAAAAAACTACTCTAGGAAGATCTTCAGAATTAAGCATCAGCATTCATTCTTATACTATGTTGTCAAGTGGAATCTGAAAATGGCAATGATTCCTTATTTGCATGGGTTGACTTTCCTTGTCAAATTCCATCAGATCGTGTGTTTTAATATTTTCCCTTAGCAATACTAAGCAATACAATAAGGGAATTGTGATTACTGTAGCAAATACCATATTCCATACAAATGGCTGTCTGCACACAGACAGTTTCAAGGGCCATATTCCAAAAAAAAAAGATTTAAAAGCAGATTATAAAAGATACCAGGCTACGGTGAAAGCTGCCACAACTCCATTCAATATAGCCATACTATAGCCCATGTGAAAAGAGTGTCCTGTCATTCGCCTGAAAAGAAAAGAAGATCAATTACTGTAATTAACAGATTAGAGAGGATATTTCCAGCCATAAAATATTTTACATGGATAAGCCTGTCTCATTTTAATGCTTACCATACATTTTCATTGTCCAAAAACTTCTAATTCCTTCTCAAATATTTTAAATTTGTACAGAATCTTTTGCACTTAAAATAAATTGTTCTGAGATAGTGAGATTTGTATAAGAAGCAACCGTCTAAAACTTGCAGCAATGCCCTGTACATATTTCTCCGGCACATCCCACTTCCAGATGTCCAGCCAGCCTTGTAAGACAAATAAGGCAAATATTGCAGACAGCTTTCTTACATGGTCTTAAAAAATGTACCTGTCTTTATACCCACTGGGTACTCAAGTACAGTGTACTTCTAAGAGCTCTTCTTGGGTGATAGCCTGTAGGAAACATGCTGGCCATGTTCCAATCAAACAGGAAATGGGTAGTATTAGTAAGGAGTTGGGGAGGAATGAGCTCACAATAAAGTTTTAGGCCACCCAAATTATACAACTAAATTTTCAGGCATATGTCTGTGGCAGTACAGACTAGCAACTAGCCTAAGGATGCTTTCTTAATTATTTTAAACTACACTATCATATAATCAGTGTGTGAAAACACTAATAAATATTATTTAACCTATGTCTACATCTATGTACCAACAAGTACAATATAAAGTAAACTACGCATAAAAATATACTGTTCTTGGCGTACAGACACTGTTTGCCACTGCCTTCTTCTGGGATATTTTTTCAACCTCTTAGTCTAGCCTACAACCTGGCATTCCATGTCGGCCTCCCATTTCAGTTGCAACCAAGCCTGACCCTGTTTAATATCCAAAGTCAACAAGGTCTCTAGCTCTAAGATATGTATTATATTCTGATAATAAAAGTAAGAATAGCAATTCATTCAATTGACTGAATCCTGATTGCCTTATCAATTGTACATTGATTTTAAATCTTTTTGACAATATTCTTTCATTGTTTCTGGAATTCTCAAGAAAAAAATAAATTTTATATTTCAGGTTATAAAAACCTATGTTATGATACACTCTGCTGGCCAACTCTTGAAACTGCTTAATTTGTTGCTTTAATATATGAATGTGAACACTGTTCCTAATACAAAAGGCAACAAAAGGCAATTCATATTAGATAAAAGTAAATTACTGAACCTTTTTAAAAAATAAATTTGCAATTCATGAATCAAGAATTCATTCTTGATCCTATATTTTCTTGCTTTACCACACACACTTAAGTACTTCCTGACATACCCAACTCTCACAACAGCCATTTTCACTTCTTTTGACATATACAATAGTTCATATATTATACACTATCTTTCTACCAACATTTGTACATCTTAAAATTTCTCCATCCAGTTTCCCATCTTTAATAAACACATTAAGGCACACAAATTACTCACTCTGTTTGTTTTTGCCATTTGTGTTTAAATTAAAGCCATTCACACTATCTTCTTATCAAACACAATTCCGTGGCCTTTAATAAATTCATTTTCAAATTCATACTTCTTGATGCTTCATACATTCTAACCTGCGCTGCAAATCATTCAAGTTCTCAGCTAACAGCACGTTATCATCTGCATACAATAATATACATCAGTGTTTCTCAACCTTAGCAACTCTAAGATGTGTGGACTTCAACTCCCAGAATTCTCCAGCCAGCATGCTGGCTGAGGAATTCTGGGAGTTGAAGTCCACACATCTTAGAGTTGCCAAGGTTGAGAAACACTGGTATATAGGCATTCACTTCTTCAGCCAGAATACTTCTAATATCACAAGCATTCCTTATACATTTATCTCAAAATACATTAAATCAAGGGGATATCACACAACACAGTCTTATTCCTTAAGCAACACTGAACCATTTGTTAAGCATTCCATTTATCTTCATGTCTGATTATTTCTATCATACACTGCTCTTACCAGCCTTCAAAAACATTCCACTTTATCATACTCCTCCTCTAAATCAACAAATGTAAAATAAATTTTCTCATATTCACAACTTCTTGATGATCTGCTGCAGAATAGTTTACCTATACCCCACCCTATCATAAAGCTACATTTCATTTCTCAAATTTTGCTCATTGTAAGCTATCATATTCTTTGAATCAGATTTCTGCCAATAGCTTTCCAAACAACCTTAAACTTCTGTCATGGCAGATGCAGCCTTCAAAGACAAGTTAAGCAAGTTGCACAGCCACTCCACAAGCAAACCACATTTCTATTTTAACATTTCTGCAGCTACATGATCATATCTGCAGCCTTACCATTTTTCAACATTCTCATAACATTATGACTTCTAATTCTTCATTTTTTTCCCTTGGGCAGCTGCATCTATAGTATTCATTTCAGTTTGACATATCATCATCATTTCCACAAAAAAGTCTAAAACTCTCTTCAAAAATTCCCTAGCTTCAGTTTATTCCATATAATTTTATCACTTGATTTTTAATTCTATGCATTCTGCTGGTCACAGTTTCTTTAGTTCTATTCATCCATTTCAAAAACCATTTTTATTTCCAAAAAATTGTTCTGTATTTTTCTGCCTATTTTAATCCTAACCATTCTTTGTTCTCTTTTATTACATTCTTAGCAACTATTTTTCTCATCATTTTTGCAGCAATATTTCACATATATTTTCCTTATCCACAGCCTCTTTTACTTCATCATTCCCCTAAGCATCCATTTACACCTGCCCCATCAGTTTAATTCCACTTATTTTGCTGGAACCTAATTCTTTTTGCTATATTCCAAGCAGCTTCTTTGTTTACATTCATTTTCCATTCAGTCATTGGGAAATAAATCTAATATTTTTTTCACATAGAACTTATATTTTTTCTTCCTGCAGTCATCTTACTTTAACTCTATTTCTTCCATTTCTTCCATGTTTTTTCTCCCTAAGATCCATTCTTGACAGCACCAAACAACAATCTATCCCAAATTTAGAATCTCTCATTACCCTTCTAGCATTAATTTATTCTCTCAAACAATCAAATAAATCATGTTTTGATATTTATAGCCATTCCTTTACCACGTGTACGTATGAGTAAACTTACTATTAAACCATATATTTGAAAAAGAAGGACCTTTTTCTAGGGAGATTCTCACTAATCCTATCACCATTCTCATGCATTCTTGGCCCAATTGCTCTTTCTATACCTTCTCATATTGTTTCCATCCATCCATTCATGTAATCTAATAAAGTGTTTTTTCCCAGATTGCATCTGTTCAGACTGGCACACAATTTTTCTGGTTATTCCGTTTTTATTACTCACTGGGGCAGAACATGCAATTGTCACAACCTATATGCATGTAAAACAATTTAGATATCAAACATTCATGACTTTTGATATAAATTTTAGCCCCTTCACTCATAATTAAACCTACACCTTCACTTACATACCTTGCACGTATTCATCAACTCCTTACACAAAGCAGACCACATTCACACATTCACATCTATTACATACTTACCTTTTCTTTTGGTTTCAGTATCATACAAAATACCTTGTTTTCTTTTTCCCTTCAATTGTTAATTCATGCTTGTTACCATTTTCTCTTCTTACATTCCAAGTCACTGTCTTCCATATATTACAGTCATCACTAGATAAGCCAATGGATAACAATCTCACTTGCCAATTATGGCTTTTGCCAATCAAGGCTTTCATATAAAGTCCTTTCATAAGAATAAAAAGTATAAACTAGCTAAGGATGCTCCTCAATATTACAGGAGATCATATGAAACTTTAATATGCACGTTGTATCAATCTCTTATGATGGATTTCTGAGCCCAATATCCAATCACATTTGATTAAGTGATTAAATGATACTCACTTAAATCGTGCAGGTGAGAGTGGAGTAGGAGGAAACATTCCTGGTTCGAACGAATCAAAATAGATCACTGTCCAGGAAAAACTGCAACATGACAGCCCAGTCATCAGGGCTATTACAAGAAGACTCCAAAATCCTTATGGAAGAAAAATTCAACTGTAAATAATGAAATCTCAAAATTACAACTTTAGCAGAAATATACAGTATGCAAAATGTTGGATTCAAAATGCCACATTTCAAGTTAGAAACAGCTGCTCCAGTATGTCTGGAAGTGCCCCAAGCTCACAACTTTCCTTTGTTTCCAAATGAGGTCATTTTGACCTTGTATACACTTCTGGTACAATTAGTATATATTTCAAATTTGAAATGTTTTGCATATCCCTAACAGAAATGTCTCAATTTTACTGCCAGGAAATGTTAAATGTTCCAGTACCTGGAATAAACCACAAGTTAATAGGCTTACACTGGGTCAAAGGGAAAAACACAACATAATCCAATATATATTTAGTCAGTCCAGCTGAATTAT